TTTTATGCATACGTAGTAGAGGAGACATGTTAAATAGCCCATTTACTTTCTTTTGTTCAAGAAAGGGATCGTAGGTCAGGTGGTAGGCTAGTTGAGTTGGCTCACTAGTGGTGCAAGGATCGAATCCTCTCTTGTTCACACCAATTTTTGCGTGCGTGCATGCAACAGAGAAAACAAAAGGAAACTGTGGCGCTCGGGAGGCTTTCGCAGAATCGTTCGATGCGCATCCGACGACAATCGAAGCGTGTGTGACTATCGCTAACGAACAGTCGGCAGGAATCTTTTTGTCAAACAAAACCTACGACGATATTTGTACCTAAGCTATCAGGTTTGTGGTACATATAATTATCAATCTCATTACAAAAGAATTTACCGAGATATGACAAACGAGAAGACCGTTGTTCGAATTCTATAGGAGTGAAACATTTATTTCTTTAGAAAACATTCATCACTACAAAAAAGAGACAAATGGAGTACAAAACACGTTGCACCGGCCCTTTAAAAAACTTGGAGCAAATGGTTTTGTCTCCTCATCAAAGGCGTTGTGGTCATTTTTTCTCGTTCTCATTTACTAAGGTAGAAATACAGATTAACCCGCACATGAAACATAGTAAGTAGTCAGCTCAGCTGGTAATGAGTCGTGGCCACAACCAACAGGTCGTGTGTTCGAATCCTAGCGGTGGCACTAATTGCTCCAGCTTCCCGATCAGTTGGCTGAATTGGACAAGTTAAGATAAGAGTTTGATCTAGTTTGGTACTCCCTCCATCCGACTCTTTTATCCATTTTGATGACAAGTATTTCCAGACGGATGGAGTACTAGTTACCTATTGAACTGTTTCAACTCATGATGCGAGACACCTAAAAGAGGCAGCAATATTTTGCATGAAAATAACACATAATAGTGACGAACACACGTTTTCAAATAGCTATATAGGTGGTTCTTGCAGACATTTGCTAACAGGGCACTTGGCAAGACTAGATTCGTCTTCATCTTTGCCCTTTGCCTGCTACTATATGAGGTTGGTCTCAATCTTTGTACTGCCTGAATGTGAGGTTCAGGCGCCCAGGTCGAAGATTTGCCTTGTCGGTCACCCAGAGCGGTGCACTTTTCGGCGTAATGCTTGAGACTCCATGGAATATGCGCCTTGATTGACCACCAAATATCAAAACATCACCAGATTCAAGCTTAATCTTTGAGGCCTTATCCTCGTCTCTGACATCGCCATACAAGAATTCTGCAGTGTCGCCCAATGAAAAGGAAACAACAGGCAGTCCCTTGGCAATGCTAGATTCCTCTTCATCTTTGTCCTGTCAAGTGGCACAAATTAATTAGGCCCTTTGTGAAACAAGAGCGCAGCGGCATTAGCAATCCAACTGTAAAAAGGGGGAAGTATGAGACATTATACTACAAATGCATGTTTACTGAATTAATCTATCAGCGCTCAGTTCATCCAATAGATTGGTAGCAGAGTTATGAAAAGCAATGATGCTAATGCATGGAAACATATTATTAGAGAAAGCTTTTCTTTTGTACCTGATGAAGACCTAACTTCCCGCTAGTGGTGTAGAAGTTAACAATGCAGATATCCGGTGACAACAAAGGAAGTTCTACGGCAGGTTTGGTAGCACCCTTGCCTCTTTGTTCCAAGAATTCATGGGAAGCTTTAATGGCATCTTCCACTAACTTGGTCAATTCTTCTGGTATCTTTGGTGGTTGAGCAGCATCAAAAGGCCGTATATCCCCATATTTGCCTGAATCTGGGTCCCAGTTCTTCCCTAAGCACATCATCCGTAGACTTAACTTACCACCTTCTCTGTACCCAGGTTGATAAAATCCTCCTGGGCCAACACCAAGATCCCGACAATGCTTGATAATTTTAACCTGAGATACGGAACGAAAGATGGCTTTGATATATGCTTTCTGCAGTAAATGTGACTCAGGCATACTTGAACACATGGTAAAGAGAGGCACAATGACCAAATCAGTAAAAGAAACATATGTTTTTGCCATCAGAATTCCGAGAAGTGTTATACAGGTTGCAGCAAAGTGTGAAGACAAGACATTGGATGGACGCGTAACACTTCAGTAATGAGCACGCAAAATTGTGAGAAGTGTTATGCAGATTGCAGCAAAGTGTGCAGACAGACACTGGGCGCGTAACAATTCAGTAATGAGCAAGCAAAATTGTGAGAAATGATATGCATGTGCAGACAAGACACTGGACACGTAACACTTCAGTAATGAGCAAGCAAAATTATGAAGGCATACAATACAAGAAAAACAAAATGTATAATAATTTCAAACAACAGCTTCTTTTTGCAAGGTACATAAGAATCATCCAAGCTAGAATAAAACTAAACAAATTAACATGCAATAATGCACAGAGCAAAATGTGTAAATATAGGCATACCTGATCATCTGGCTTTAAGAAGTTTTTCAATAGAACCATCCCAGGTCTCAAATGTTGCACTGGAGCAATGTTCGAAAGCTCCTTTGCACGGCGTTTCTCTCTATTGATCTCAAGGAGACCATGTTTGAGAATGACAATGCCTTTGCTGTTACCCATGCATATGTCAAATGGAGCAGCTCCTAAATCAGACCCCACAGTTCCAGAGACACATGAAGCGCTACTGGAGTCTAGAGGTTTTGATAGTTGAATCGATGCAGCCCTTTGGACCAGTGGTTGAACTTGTTCAGCCATCATCAGTGATGAATCAAGAGACTTTGGTGGTTGAACTGGTGAATCTAGAGACTTTGGTAGAACTGGTGTAACTATCTGTTGCGGTGATTTTTTACTGCTGACTGAGGGAGAAGATGAACTCGACCCCTCCTTTTGAGATTGTAAGGGACTTTCATGGCCCTGCAGAATAAAGTTGATATTTACAACTGTCATCATTAAACAAGAGAACATCGATATATCTGAAGAGAAAGCAAAAATGTGTAATAGTATGAGACACATAATGTACTTAACTTGAGAAGTAATCAAATTGAATTTCACCATGTTAATGCTCACAACCATTTAATGGACATATCCATGACTAAGCAGAAGTCTAAAACAATACCAATTTTAATTGAGCGAGCAAACACACGATCCTACAGAGATTATAGAAAAAAGCGATGCAAAATGGAAGTTGAAGCAATGGCATAGGATCCCGCATTCTTTCATTCAGGTCCAGCAAATGGCCACCCCACACTGCAAATGGGTGACTGCGTTCATGTTTTTCGGATAACAAGTGACTGTATTCATGTATATAATTTGTTCGAAAGCAGAAAGTTTCTGATACTTCAACCGACAGACAGAACAGAAAACCTCTGCAGACAACTAAAAATCCCATCTTCAGCGCAGAAACAGAGAGAGCCCGAGAAATAACACGCTCCGTCCATCCACAGGACAAGGCTACAACTCTGATGTTCTGCAAGAACATGAGAGGTGGTACCTGTACAGTCCGTCAGCCAGCAATTCAGACCCTATTTCCAGGCCCAATCAGGGGCACCAATGCTGAAACTACGCAATTCGATGCTACTACTTCGGCTTCCGCGGATGCGGATGCAGACGAGAAGATTCCTAATTTCGTACCAAACCAAAACCCGCAACGGGCACTGTTCTGACCCGTGCCCGCCACTCCGCACAAATGCCGCGGCGTCGCGCGTCCCATGATCCCGGCGCCATGTCGCCGCGTCAATCCACGGCCGGCGGCGAACCCCAAACCCTAGCCCCGGCGGAGCGGCGGGCCGGGAAGACGAACAGAAAGAAAAGAAACCCCCCGTATGTTCGCGTTCAACGGAACAGAAGAGGCGGAAAAAAAAGGTTAGGGCAAGGAGGGACGTACGAACTCGCGCGAGGACCGGGGCTTCCGGTGCCGGGACGAGGAGGAGGAGGAGGAGGAGGAGGGCGCCGGGTTCCTTCCGGCGCCGCGGCCACGGCCGCCTGCCATGGGCGCGGTGGCGGAGGCGGAAAAGCGGGGGGCTCTGCTCTGCTCTGCGCTGCGCTGCCGTTTGGGGTTTCGTCTGGCGACTTGCCCGTTGGCAACAGAGCGGAGCAGAGTGATTTGGTTGGGTCTCCGGGGGGAGGAGGCGAGGCGAACAGGGTCGCCGTTATTTATGACCCACCAACACCAACGCCAACCAACAGCCGCGGGGCGGGCGGGTTCGTGGGCGGGGCGGAACCGACTCGACGGCCCGGATTCCACTGGCCTCGGAGTCTTCACCAGATTCTCTAAAAAAAAGACCTCGAAGTCTTCGCCAGTTCAAGCAAATTTGAAAACGAAACAGAACTACTGGAGGGACGAGGATCCTCTACCGTTCGGCAGCATGCCGTTCTACCACTGACATGTGGGCCTGTGGAAAACCTGGCCCACATGTCAGCGGCCCAACGTCACCTAGCTCACGGCAGAGGAGCCGTGTCCCTACTGGAGTACTTCAACCACAGCGACACATTTTTTGCACAAAATACCCTCATATTTTTTTATTCACGGAAAAGCAGGACCATGGAACTGTACATGTATGCCAAAATTAACAAACAAAAAAGCGTGCACCGGAATCAAACCCACAAACAATTTATGCAACAGAAAACGGTCTAGCCAATAGAACTTATAGTCATGTTCTCCTATGGACATCTTATCTTAGAGATCAAGAAACTTCTAGAGTTGCATGGGTTTATTCCACGGAAAATCGAGCGTCATCAAAATAGAGTTGCTCATAGCCTTGCTAATATTGGTAGCGGTAGCACCGCTTGTTGGTTGCGCCGTGTGCCAGAGAGTGTAGCTGAAGATGTATTAGCATACTGTAATTCTATTACCGAGGAATAAAACACACACTTTTCCCGCAAAAAAATGTTCTTTTATATGGATAAGCAGCTTATATGTACTTCACAACGACTCATGTGTAGCTTACTTGGGCTGCAGATACCACGGCCCATTTTGCGCGTGCTAACTTTTTAGAGATAATTTGTAAAACATAAGCAATAAAGTTGCGGTGTCTCAAAAAATGTAATAAAGTCAGGGATCTCACAAAAAAAGTAATAAAGTTGCGAGTTTCTAAAAAAAGTATTAAAGTTACGAACCCTTTAAAAAGTAATAGAGTTACGTTCACATATTTCTGTGTTAAAAAATATTATATGTACAGAAAACGATTAGTAGATAAAAACATGTAAATATAAAATTGTGTATTATGTATTTCATACTTAGTAAAACATAACTACATAAGTAATAAAAACATTTAAGATAATTCTAAACCATAATTTATAAAATTATGTTCAAATATTTGTGTGTATAAATACAATATATGCAAAGGATCATTTGTAAATAAAACCTTTAAATATAAATCTGTGTATTATGTAAAAAATATTTAGTTAATTTGGACGTTGAAAATGTTTATTAGATAAATATGTTTAATGAATCCAAAAAATATACACTTGCAGCTTATATTTAAATTATATAAAACATTGAACACAAACATTTACTAAATATTCATGACTATTCACTTGTGTAAAAAAATATTCAGGACTTATATTTAAAAAATATATAACTTAAGTATTAGCCATGACTGAATATTCATATTAACAGTTTAAATTTTAAATTATTAATATTTTTAACTATACAAAAAATTTAAATTATTAATATTTTAAACTATACAAACATTAAACTATACAAGTCTGCGTACACATAATTATTGAAATATTCGTATAATTAATATAATATTTTTAATTGTAATTTTGAATACAAATATGCAGTATGCACATTTGTATAGTACACATGTTGATATGTTTAAAAATAGCGCGGGCAGAATAGGCCGTAGTATCTGTAGGCCATTTAAGTTCCACATACATTTGTCCTCGTTCAATACATGTACATTTAGATGCTTTTTTGGTGTTAATTTTCGCATTTGCATTCAATTGTTAAAAATTAGTTGGTGAGTCCTGGCATACGCTTTTTGTTGTTAATTTTCGCATATATGTGCAACATTGTGGTCCTGTTTTCTGTAAATAAAAAGAGTGAGGGTGTTTTGGGAAAAAATGCATCAGTGTGGTTGACTTTTTCCGCAAATAAATAAACACAGGATGTTCTGTGTAAAAATACGTCGCGCCTAGCGCCATTAGTCACCGACAAGTGGGGCCATACACATGGATACACCCGCAAACACGTACTATGACCGTATCTGCATGCTTGAGTCAAGTTAGGTGGCCACAAAACCGTATTTTTAAAGTTTTAGCACCAAATTAAAGCGCAAGTTCTGTGTCTTCCAGTGATATTACTTCATTTTGGCTGAACGATACCTGCACGATAGCAAATCCAAGCGCCTACGGCTGTTCGGAATTGCTAATCGATGGTGTGAGGAGCCATGTCGTGCATGTATTGGCTAGCAATTGTCACCTGTTTAGCAATGCTCTTTGAAAAAAGATGCGAGAGGAGCGAAATGCTTGAATTTTCAGCTGAAAAGAAGGCGTGCAGTTTTTTCCCGATGAAAAAAGGGTGTGAACTTGGCTTGGACTCTCTACTCCTAGGCGGCTAGGCATTGCCTCCTTCGACAAAAGAAGGGATATATAACATGGAGGGGAACTTTTGGTCTATGGGACATATGCATCCTATATGGAAAAAAAATTAATAATACAACAAAAAGTCGAATATTCCTGAAAATATTTTTGAAATAAACTTGACCTTCTATTATACTTGTGAGAAAAAATCCAAAAAAATAAATATTCCTTTGACTTCTTTTCAAAAAAGACAAATTTTTGGCTAAAATAGTGTGGATAGTAACCTATAATAGCAAATAATTTTTGTCTTTTTTGCTGTGAGGTCAACTTTTATTTTTTTTCGTCGAGATTTATATACTAGTGCAAAAGTAAGTCAAGTGTTTTGTCAAAATAGTTCTTACCTATTTTGACTTTTTATTAAAATATTAAAATAATCCCCAGATAGGGTCCATATACAACCAGGAACACAAATGTATTTCCCTATATAACATCGTAATACTCCCTCCGTTCCATGAATATAAGATCTCTAACTTTTATTTTAAAATCCAATGTACATAGACACGTTTTAGTGTGTTTGTTCGCTCATTTGTATGTAGTTCGTACTCAATCCGTTTCTTTTTAGTTTGCATATAAGATTAGGTCAAAGTCAAAATTTATCAACTTTGACTAAGTTCATAGAAAAAAATATCAACATTCGGAATATAAAACCAATATTATTATATGCATCACGAAATTAATTTTCATACCATATAGCTTTAATATTGTAGATGTTTATATTTTTCCAACAAAGTTAGTCAAATTTTACGAAGTTTGACTTTGACCAAATTTTATATGCAGACTAAAAAGAAACGGTGAAAGTATTTCTGAACGAAGAAAGTACTAGCCAAATTCAAGATCAAAATAGCCTCAAAATTGAACAAGGACTTATATATTTTTTTGGTCGCTGCTATCCGTTTTCTCCCTGCTATCACGTTTTTATAGTTGTGCCGCTACAACTATGCGATTTTAGAGACATCATCAAACAGCAGAGGCTACACCTGAAAGCTTGGGCAAATGTGCCGGCCCACTTTCCCTCAAGAAGTTTTTCTGCTTTTGTCTTCGCATTTAATCGGGTTTCCTCCAAAACATCGGTTGCTTTTTACGGAGCTAGATATTTATAAAACATCATAAAATAAAACTATATTTTAGAAAAATATGGGTATGTATTTTGGAAAATCTCAGTGTATACTAAAGGAACGTTCACCCTATACTGAAAAAGAGCGCTTATATATAAAAAATGTTCAGCGTGTATTAAAAAATATTCATTTTGCAATAAATAAAAATCATCATATATTAAAGCATATTCATTTTATATTACAAAAATGTTTAGTGTGTATTCATCGTAAAGTAATGAGTTGTTCATCATGTATTACAAAATTGTTCACCATGTACTAAGAAGATTAAAGTGAAAATTAAACAAAAAGAAAAAAACCTTAAAGTACAAAAAAAACGAAAAACAGAAAAGAACTGGCATAAAGAAACAAATAGCGAACGAGAGAAAACAAACGAACTACAGTTCACGAACACAACACAATGCGTGCAACAAAGTTGAGCCTGGCTGTGCTGCAGGGATTGCCGCATGCCCTCATCTATTTGCCACCTGATCCACCGTGATTTCAAAAAACATGATATGAAAATAAGTTGCAAACTGTGAAATGTTCATGAATTCAAAAACACATGATTTGAAAAAATGATTTAGAAATGTTAAATACTCATGGATTCAAAAAATTCTTGTGATTTCAAAATTAATGTTCATCTATTCAAAAAATGTTTACAACTTCAAAAACATGAATTTCAAAATAAATCATGAATTTCAAAAAATGTTCAAAAATTCCTAGAAAATATTCAAATATGTTCAGGAATTTCAAAGCAATGTTCGCACATTTCAAAAAAAAATCTGCTCATTCAAGAAGTGTACATGATCTCAAAACATGTTTGTAACTTAAAAAACAAATGTTCACGTGTTTCAAAGTAGCTATGCAATTTCAAAAAATGTCCTGGGTTTTCAAAATGATCTCAAATTTCTAAAAAAATTTCATGAACTTAAATAATGTTCACCATTTTAAAAAATGTTCATATGATCACGAATGTTCAAAACTTCCAAAACAAAGTTCATAAATTCGAAAAGATGTACGCAAGTTAAAAAAGAAAAAACACATAAAAGATGAAAGAAATAAAAAATGAAAAAATAACAAACAGAAGAAAAAAACAATATTAAAAAGTTCATGATTTCGCAAAAAGGTCAACGTATTTTAAAAATGTTCGCCAAAAAGAGAAAGGAATAACAAACAGAAAAAATAGAGATAAGAAAAAGAAGGAAAAGAAAAAACAGAGAAGAAACGAAAAAAAGAAAAGGAAACGTAAAAGTTAAAAGAAAAATAAATAAAAAACGGTAACGAAAAACAAAGAAAAGACACGAAAACT